GATACATATGCAAGTATATAAAAGCATTGTTGTTCTTTTTTCTCAGCCAAGTATTTTTTTTTTTTTTTTTAGAGAAAGAGAGAAACATTGATCCATTGCCTCTTGTGTGCACCCTGTCTGGGGATCAAACCCACAACCTTTAGGTGCAGGAGACACTGCTCCAACCAACTGAGCCACCTGCATGTCCTGGCCAGGACATGTATGTGAAAGTGTTCTGAATTGATAAGGAAGAATACACCCTAAATTTGTGACAGTGGTTGCTTCTGAGAAAGGGGGGAGAAAGGGGGCCCAGAACGAGGACAAAGAAAACCTGATTTTATCTTAAAGTTTTTATTTATTTGATTAAAGGAGACTTTAAAAATATGTTGACAAAATGTTAACAAGAATCAATTCTTGATGGGCAGTGCCCAGTGCTTGTTATATTGCCCTGTATTTTCAAAATATTCTTTTTTTTTTGTTCAGGTGGGGGGTGGGGGAGAGGAACAGAGAGAGAGAAACATCGATGTGAAAGGGACACATCGAGTGGCTGCCACCCACACAACCAACCAGGGCCGGGGACAAACTGCAACCGAGGTACGTGCCCTTAGCGGGAACCGAACCCGGGTCTCTCAGGACCGCAGGCCGACACTCTAACCGCTGAGCCAAACCGGCCAGGGCTCAAAATATTCTTAACAAAAAAAATCCAGATATAGACCATAGATTCTTCAAGTGGAAATGTCAACTTCGGGGAACATGCTTTCCAGAGGCCTTCAGGGTGACTGTGCAGGGACTCAGCAATGTCGGCACCCACGGCCTCAGGCGAGGTCGGTCACTCACAGTGTCACAGTGAGCACGCTCGCTGTAGTGTGCATCTCGCTTGCTAGACAGTTTCTCTTTGGCCTTCAGTGCATGATGGCATTTGTCTCTGGTTACAGCAGGCCCACACCTGGTACAGCTCTCCTCTGCACCAGACCCGAAACCTCACCTACTAACCTGCATGTTTCCTTCAGAAGAGTTGGTGCTGGGCTTGTTGGGATCATCGTGTGTTCACAATTGCAACAGTGTAACCCAGTTTCTGTTGTGAACAGATTGTTTCATTCTCAGAGAAGCTTCAACTTTTCATTGCAGTGGGACCAAGTGAAGAACTTTTGAGAAGGAATGATTTATCCCAGTGGGGATGAGAATCCAGGGCCAGTATCCAGGTGAACAGCAAGGGCTATAGGAATGAGTCAACAGAATTTTCTTAGAGTTAAGAACTGAGAACTTAGCGATGAAACAAGACTGTGCCACCGATGGCCCTCCTGGTTGCAGTCATCTAAAGACCTCAGGAAAGTCCTTATAACGTGCGGCTCCTGGCTCACTGTCACCGTCTTTAACATTCTTCCTTGTCTAACTCATAGTCACTTCATTATCTACGTGGATGATCCTTTTGAGTCTTTAGCCTCCTCTCCTCCACGGAGCTTGTTCTCCATCATTCCCCAGCCTCCACTCCCATCATCATCATCCTTCCTCCACCACAGTCTAGGCTGTTACTGTCCTCACTCCACTGCATCCTGATTTCTGTCCTTTCCCAGCCTGAATTCATTTTACAGCCATCCCCCTGCCTACACCAACTCTCCTGGCCCTCTGTCCTTCCATAGTTCTTACTTAGCAAACACCCCTCCCTTCTGGCCCCCACCTTACCGCTGCTTAAGCCCAGCTCTCTGCCTGCTCTGCACCCCGCCCAGGGAGCTGGTGTTGCATGGCAGCCCTGCTGGATTTCCCTAGTCCATTTACACACCTTCTCTGGTCTCCAGTCCCCAAAGCTGTCCTCACAGCCCCTCTTGCTGCTGCTGACCTTGTTTTCTATCTCACTAAGAAAAGAAAAGCAATCAGAGAAGTTTCACGTGCTCTCCCAGCCTCACCTGCACACAGCGCCTTCCCTCCGCTCGCTGGCGAGTCGTCCTTGCTCCAGCCCAAGGGCGTCTCCTCCACCTGGGCCTGAGATCACATCTCCCCATGCTTGCTCCATGGCGTCTCTCCAGCGATTCTCCCTCCCTCCCACCTCATCAGTTTGCCCTCACTGCAGAATTACTCCCGCTGGATGCAAAATGCCTGAATGAGCCCATTGTAAAATCCTGTCTTCATCTCACAACCCCTTCCAGTAACCCCATGTTACTGTTTATCCTTCCAGCAAAACTCCTAGAAGGGTTGGTCTGTATTGTCACCAGTTCCTCTCTCTCATCTTCTCTCTGATCCTTCTCTTGTCAGGCTTTGTCCCTACTGCTCCACAAAAACAGCTTCATCAGAGTAACTGTTGGCCTCTGGTTGCTAAACCCGGCGATCATTTCTCAGTCCTCACCTTCCTTTTCCCTCGGCTGGCCAGTCCTTCCTCCTGGGCACGCGCTCCCCACGTGCTTCTAGGCTCCGTCCTCTGGTTGCCTTCTACTTGGCGACTGGTGTGCGCCTCCCCTGGAAGGCCCGAGGACGCAGGGGTGCCTCAGGGCTCTGTCCTTGGGCCTCATACCCCTTTGTCTACACTCATCTCGGTGGAGAGTCTCATAGCTTTGAACCCTTCATAATGTTACCAATACATTTATACCAAAAGTCATTATTCATGCAAGGACAATCCGAATTAAATTAATTCAGCTCAAAATGTTTTCCTTGGCTGGGAATTTTTCAGTGATTCATAGAGAGCTTGCTTATATTTAAGGTTACAGATGGTATCACATTTTTCACAATTTTCTGATCATGGGATAAAATAGAGATTGCATATAACAAAACAAAACAAAAAATAAGGAAGTTCTATAACAGATATCTGAGGGAGAATGTTTAAAAATTGTATTGCTTTTTCTGCTATCAGTTTCTTAGACTGTGGCTTTGGAACTTCTGATATTTGCACCATTAAGCTCTTAGCAGTTTCCTCAAATAATTAAAAATCGATCTGCCTTATGATCCAGCGATTCCATTTGGGGGGATTTATTTAAAGAAATCCAGAACACTAATTTGGAAAAATATATGCACTCCTATGTTCATAGCAGCACTATCTACAATAGCCAAGATTTGGAAGCAGCTCAAGTGCCCATCAGTAGACAAGTGGATCAAAAATCAGTGGTACATGTATACAATGGAATATTACTCGGCCATGAAAAAGAATGAACTCTTACCATTTGCAACAATATGGATGGACCTAGAGGGTATTATGCTACGTGCAAAAATCACTCAGAGAAAGATAAACACCATATGACTTCACTGATATGTGAAATCTAAAGAAAAAATAAACAAATAAAACTGAAACACACTCATAGACACAGAGAACTGGTTGTTGCTGGGGGCAGGGACTGGGTGAAAGAGGTGAAGGGCTTAAGTACAAATAGGTAGTTTAAGAATAGTCACAGGCAAATATCACATGATTTCACTTATTTGTGGAATATAATGAACATAACAGTCGAGGAACAGGGTAGACCCAGAGACATGGAAGTAGGGTACAGACTGACAACCCTCAGAAGAGGCGGGGGAGATAAACCACAGAACTTATATGCATGTAGGCGTAACTGATGGACATGGACAACAAAGCTGGGGATGGGGTGGGGAGGACGGGGAGGAGGGTATCAATGGGGAAAAAGGAGAAACATCTGTAACAAAAATAATTAAAAAAGAAGAGTCACAGGGATGTAAAGTACAGCATAGAGAATATGGTCAATCATATTGTAATAACTGTATGGTGCCTGCTGGGGCACTGGAAATACAGGGGGACACTCTGTAGAGTATATATGCTTGTCTAACCGTGTGCCGTGCCCCTGAAACTAATACAAAGTAAAACTGAAAGAAAAAGAGATAAGCTCCTAGCAACTAGAATGCAGCCATGGCGAGGCCAAGGTACTCCCCTTCTTATGACCACCCCGTTATGTTTCTGTGTTATTGTGAGAGGCACACAAAGGCAGAGGGCGCTGGCCCACGTCCTTGTATCGTAAAGCAAACGTATGGCACTGACCTCACCAGCTTGGGGAAGCCGTGCTACGTCTAAGCATCTGCTGGCTCTGGAGTCTGGTTAACTGAATGAATGGGACCCAACCAGTGTTGCTTGTTGGTTGTGTGCGTGTGTGCGTGCGTGCGTGTGTGTGTGTGTGTTTTAATCACTGACCTATGTCATCTGTAAGTTTTTACAGAATGAAATTTCTATGCTATTCTGTGGGGACCTCATCTAGTTGAAAAGGTGAAATAAATCTGACTGAGATTTTATGACTAAACTGCTTTGATGAAGAAGCTAAAAGATGGTGTGAACTGGGAAAGAAATGTGGCTTTTGTGAGAATTCTGCCCAGTTAGTTTGCAGCCGTTTTTCCCCTTCCTGTTCAGGAAGGGCGGGAAGCATCGTAAGAATTACATGGGGATAATTATGGTGAAGAAATTTTATGAGAAGGCGAAAACGCATCTTTTTCGTCAGTGCATGTTTCAAGAATACCTGGTACATAAAGTTCGCACATAGGACACAAGCAGACACTCAGGGACTTTGAGACGAGAACATCAACTGTTACTAAGCTAACGTGATCAGTGTGCATAGGTGATCTGGGTTTTTCCGGACCCAAAGTGAACCATCTCTCAATTAGCTGCACAATTACCAAATAATCCCCCTGTTTGTAACTTGTTTGAAATGTTCTACGGATCGAGATGGTCCCGTCGCATTATCTGTGAGATACGACATTTCAGATGTTCCCTCTCCAAGGAGTGTCCTGGGTGCCTTGCTGTCTTAGCGTATCAAACGCGTGAGCAACGACTTCACTTGATAAGACTGGTCCAGTATTCTGACGCTTTGTTGAGATAAATTCCCTGGGAATAACACTGTGTGTCCCAGAGAGTGGTGGAAGGTGATGAAGATGTAAATATTTACATTTATATTTATTTCTGGCTTAGTTCAGGTTTGAGGGAAGAAAAGCAGCATCTTGGGTATTTCAGGTGCATCTGCTCACTAATAATTGACTGAGTGTGAGGGCCTCAGACGTTGTTTTCATGACAGTTTTCCAACTGGCCTTTCTCTCGGCAGGTTCCCAAGGGGAAAGTAGTCGTTCTCAACTTCCGATTCATAGACCTGGAGAGCGACAACCTGTGCCGCTATGACTTTGTGGACGTGTACAACGGCCACGGCAATGGCCAGCGCATCGGGCGCTTCTGCGGCACGTTCCGGCCGGGGGCGCTCGTGTCCAGTGGCAACAAGATGATGGTGCAGATGATTTCCGACGCCAACACCGCCGGGAATGGCTTCATGGCCACGTTCGCCGCCGCCGCGCCCGATGAAAGAGGTACTGTTTCCACGCCATGGGGTAACAGCGGTGAGGATGCTCACCGCCGTCGAAGGCCTACCGTGTGCCAGGCCTGCTGGGCACTTCCATGTATTTACGCCTTTGATTTAAAGTTGAGAGAATGTCTTCTTAAACAGAGAGCTAATAAATGCCACCAAACCACCCAGAGACCATAACAAATCAGTCCGTTTTTAAAAAGTCCATGTATATTCTTTTACAAATTCAAATATAGACATTTATGGAGTAAAAATGTGAAGTCTGCATACATGTATCCACATACAGACATAGAAACATCCCCCTTCACCCGACTGTGGTTCCCTCTTAGCAAAGCCACGGCTGGCGGGTCTCACACCTTTCTCTGTGTGTGTGTGTGTGTGTGTGTACATATATATAACTTTGCAGTAACTTTTCTGGTTGTTGTTAATCCTCACCTGAGGATATTTTTCCATTGACTTTTTTTTTGGAGAGAGTGGAAGGAGGAGAGAGAGAGAGAGAGAAACATTGATGTGAAAGAGACACATCAATTGGTTGGCTTCTGCATGACCCCGACCAGGGCTGGGGATCGAACCTGCAACCCAGGTACATGCCCTTGACCAGGAATTGAACCTATGACCCTTTGGTCAGCAGGTCAGTGCCCTAACCACTGAGCCAAACCAGCCAGGGCTGCAATATCTTACTAAAAATGGAAGTGAGATCATGCATTCATATTGTTTCACAAGTTTCTCTCTCTTTGTTTAATCCTCACTCGAGGATACTTTTTCCATTTTTATCTTCAGATAGAGTAGAGAGAAATATTGAAGTGGGAGAGACACATTGATTGGTTGCCTCCTGCACAACCCTGACCTGGGCCGGGGACCGAAGCGCACTGCGGTACGTGCCCTTGGCTGGAATTGAACCCGCAACTCTCTGGTTCATGGGCCGATGCTCTAAGCCAAACCAGCCAGGGCAACAACTATCTCTTTTCATTTAACACTGTGTGTTGGGATACTTTCATATCAGTACATGTGAGCTCCCAAAACAGAAACCTCTACCTTTTTTTTTTTTTATCCTTACCCGAAGACATTTTTCCATTTTTTGTTCAGATAGAGCGAGAGGGAGAGAGAGGAAGAGAGAGAGAAACATCGATGTGAAGGGACACATCGAGTGGCTGCCACCCGCACGACCAACCAGGGCCGGGGACAAACTGCAACCAAGGTACGTGCCCTTAGCGGAAACTGAACCCGGATCTCTCTGGACCGCAGGCCGATGCTCCAACTGCTGAGCCAAACCAGCCAGGACCAGAAACCTCTACCTTGAAAGATAACGACTGAGGCCAAGAGCTGTTCTGTTTGCAGCCTTTTGCCTGAGGGCACTCCCTAATTTGCTCTTTGCCTTTAACTGAATGTATTGGGGTGACATCGGTTAATAGGATCATGTGGGTTTCAGGTGTAGATTTCTGATACATGATCTATGTATCACACTGTGTGCCCATCACCCAAACCATCTTCCGTCTCCATATATGAGGCCCCCTTCACCCCCCAACCCCCTTCCCTCTGGCAACCACCACACTGCTGTCTGTGTCCACGAGTTTCAGTTTTATGTCCCACGTATAAGTGAAGTCATATGGTTCTTAGCTCTATCTGCCTGACTTATTTCACTCAGCATGATATTCTCAAGGTCCACCCATGTTGGGCAGTATTTCATCTTTTCTTATGGTTGAGTAGTATTCCTTAGGATATATGTACCACATCTTCTTTATGAGTCCTCTATCACGGGACACTTTGGTTGTCTCTAGGTCTTGGTCACCCTGAATAATGCTGCAATGGGTGCACATACCTTTGCAAATATACCTTTTCCATTTTGCAGGGTGTATGCCCAAGAGAGGGATTGCTGGGCCTTATGGTAACTCTATTCTTAATTTTTTGAGGAATTGCCAGACTGTTTTCTTTAGTGACTGTACCAGTCTATGTTCCCACCAGCAGTGAATGAGGGTTCCTTTTTCTCCACAACGTCTCCAACACCTGTTATTACTTGTCTTGTTGATAACAGCCATTCTAACAGGTGTGAGGTGGTATCTCATTGTAGTTTTGGTTTGTGTTTCCCTAATAGTTAGTGAGGTTGAACATCTTTTCATATATCTGTTGGCTTTTTGTATGTCTTCTTGGGAGAGGTGTCTGTTCAGGTCCTTTGCCCATTTTTTAATTGGGTTGTTTGTTTTGTGTTGAGTTTTATGAGTTCTTAATATATTTTGGATATTAAACCTTTGTCAGAGCTATTGTTTGCAAATATCACTTCCCATTCATTTGGCTGCCTCTTTGTTTTATTGTCGGTTTCTTCTGTGGTGCAGAAGCTTTTTCCCACTGATTTATTTTTGCCTTTACTTCCTTTGCCTTTGGAGTCAAGTTTATAAAATGTTCTCTGTGACCAAGGTCCATAAGTTTAGTATGCTTTCTTCCATGTAATTTATTGTTTCAGATCTTACATGTGGGTCTTTGATCTATTTTGAATTAACTTTTGTACATGGGCACAAACCGTAATCTAATTTCATTGTTTTGCATGTAGCTTTCCAATATTCCCAGCACCATTTATTGAAGAGGTTTATTTTACTCCATTGTGTGTTTCTGGCCCCTTTGCTGAAAATTATCTGCCCATACAACATGTGGTTTTATATCTGGGCTCTCAATTCTGTTCCATTGATCTGTATGTCTGTTTTCCTGCAAATGTCATGCTGGGTTTTTTTAATCCTCACTCAAGGATATTTTTACATTTATCTTCAGACAGAGTGGGAGAGAGAGGGAGGGAAGAAGGGAGGGAGAGAGGGAGGGAGAGAGAGAGAGAGAGAGGTGAGAGAGACACCCGCATGAACCCAACCAGGCCGGGGACGAACCACAACCGAGGAACATACCCTTGGCTGGAATCGAACCCGGGACTCTTTGGTCCGCAGGCCAGTGCTCTAACTGCTGAGCCAAATTGGCCAGGGCTACCATGCTGTTTTGATGATCACAGTTCTGTAGTATAATTTGAAGTCAGGTTGTGTGATACCTCCGGCTTTGTTCTTTTTTTTTCAGGATTGCTTTGGCTATTTGGAGTCTTTTATTGTTCCATACAAATCTGATTACTTTTGTTCTATTTCTTTAAAAAATGACATTGGGATTTTGATGGGGACTGCATTAAATCTGTGTATTGCTTTGAGTAATATGGCCATTTTAACTCTGTTGATTCTTCCAATACATAAACACAGGATATTTTTTCCATTTTGTTGTGTCTTTATCAGTCTCTTTTAATAATGCTTTGTAGTTTTTAGTTTATAGGTTTTTCATGTTCTTTGTTAAGTTTATTCCTGTGTGTTTTATTATTTTGGTTGCAATTACAAAAAGAATTGTGGGGTTTTTTTGTTTGTTTCGTTTTTTGTCATTTCTTTTTCTGAAGTTTCATTGTTAGTGTACAGGAAGGCAGTGGATTTTTGTACATTGATTTTGTATCCTGTAACTTTACTGTATTTGTTTGTTGTTTCTAATAGTTTTTTGGTAGAGTCTTTAGGGTTTTCTATGTACAGAAGTGTATCATCTGCAAAAAATGACACTTTTACTTCTTCCTTCCCAATTTGGATGCCTTTTATTTCTTTCTCTTGCCTTATTGCTCTGGCTAGGACTTCTAGAACTATGTTGAACAAGAGTGGTGAGAGTGGGCGTCCTTGTCTTGCTCCTGATTTTAGAGGAAAAGCTTTCAGTTTTTAACCATGGAGTATAATGTTGGCAGAGGGTTTATCATGTATGGCCTTGTTGAGATACTTTCCTTCTATTCCTATTTTTCCTGCTGACTTTGGATTGCTTTTGTTGTTCTTTTTCTAGTACTGTAAGATGTAATGTTAGGTTGTTTACTTGGAATTCCTCTTGTTTCTTGAGATGGGCTTGTAATGATATAAACGTCCTTCTTATTAGTGCTTCTCCAGCATCCCAGAAGTTTGATGTGTGTATTGTCATTCTCATTTGTCTGTATATATCTTTTGATCTTATCTTTTTTTAAATCCTCACCCAAGGGTATTTTTCTATTTATCTTCAGATAGAGAGGGAGGGAGGGAGAGAGAGGAAGAGAGAGAGAAACATCCACATGAGAGGGACACATCAACTGGTTGCGTGCACCTGCGTGACCCTGACCAGGGCTGGGAGCAAACCAGAATCAAACCCATGACTCATTGGTCCGCAGGCCGATGCTCTAACCACTGAGCAAAACCAGCTAGGGCTGATCTCATCTTTTATTTCTTTTTTGAGTCAGTCATTTTTAAATATTATGTTGTTTAATCTCCACGTATTTGTGGGTTTCTTTACTTCCTTTTTGCAGTTGATTTCTAATTTCAAGAAATCGTGGTCAGAGAATATGGTATCATTTCAGTCTTCTTGAATTTGTTGAGGCTTGTTGTGTGACCCAACATACGGTCTATCCTTGAGAATGTCCCGTGTGCTCTGGAGAAGAATGTATAATCTGATGTTCTGGGATGAAACGCTCTGTAAATGTCAATTCTGTTCATGGGGTCTAGTGTGTCATTTAAGGCAGATTAAGGAAATTTTAGTGATTTTCTGTTTGGGTGACCTGTCCAGAGCCGTCAGTGGAACATTGAGGTCTCCAGCTAAGACTGTGTTTTGATCTGCTTCTCCCTTTAGTTCTGTGAGTAGTTGCTTTATATATTTCAATGTTTCCTGATTAGATGCTTATATATTAAGAAGTGTTATGTTTTCTTGATGCAGTGTCCCCTTTATTGTTATAAAATGTCCATCTTTGTCTCTTGTAACCTTTGTTATTTTGAAATCTATTTTGTCAGATATAAGTATGGCTACACCTGCTTTTCTGTGGATGTCACTTGCTTAGAGAATCATTTTCCTCCTTTTCACTTTGAATCTACCTTTTCTTTGCCACTTAGATGTGTCACATGAAGGTATCATATGGTTGGGTTTTGTTTTTTGATTCACTCTGCTACTCTGTTGCCTTTTTCTTGGTGAATTCAGTCCATTTACATTTAGGGT